AATTTCTGAGAAAACAAAACCTTCAAAAAGGTTGTTTCAAAACCTGTTCATCCAGATGTAAATATATTTTTCCAGAATTTTTTAACAGAAGTTCAAGCTTGGTTGGACCTGCTGAAAGCAGATTGCACCAGGAATGTGAACCCAGCAGCAACAGATCTTCTGTGGGAAACGTTCAGAAGAACCTTAGATGCTGAGTCACTGAAGCTGCAAGACTTATGTCACTCTCAGGTGATTGAGAACTTCTCCAAACATTTGCATGCCTTTCAGTCAGAAGTTGCTGATATTTGGAACAAGAAGTCTTCTCTGATGATTGCTGATGCTCCAGCTGATCAAATGGACATTTAAGAAGATGAATCTGAAGAATTCTCTGAAGATTCAAATCCTCTGGCAATAGTTCTGTTGAATTAACCTTCTGGAAAAACTGCACCTGAACATGTGCCAACTCTTATGGTGGATCTGGGCACTCTTCTTTCAACTTTTGTTCGTTCTGACTCAACGGTTGCTACTCCAAAGGTTGTATCTGCTGAAGCTTCTTCATCCTCTGATCCTACTTCACTTGTAATGGATACTCTGAATGAGCTTAAGAGGGATAACGAAGCTATTCATGAGCGCTTGGACAAGCAAGATCAGACAAATCAAGAAATCAGAAGATGGATGATGAAACAAGAGGAATCTGCATATGAGATCAAGAATCTTCTTATGGCCCTTGTTTCTAAGAAATCTTAGTGTCATTTTGTTTCTTGTTTTTGTTTGTTGTTTTGTTGAACCTCTGAATCTTTTATTAAAAAAAAAATTTACGCTCTTCAACTATTTTTATATACTTTTTGATTATGCCAAAAAGGGGGAGAAAATGAGTATTTTGATCTAATCTCTGATTAACAGTTATGAGACTAAGTCTCAAACATTCTAACAAAATACAAGATTTCTTTCTATGCTTTAAAGAACTTTGCAGGTATCATTTAAACTCCGGAATTTTAAATTCAAATGAACATTATCTTCAAAAGACTTGCTGAAGAAATCCCAGAAGAAAATTTCAAAGCTCTGATGAAAATTCTCAGGAAGTTTTTTCTTATAGAAATATTTGTTTCAGGGGGAGATTCCTATATCTTATTAAATTTTATTTCTTATCTGAATATTTTTTTGTCGTCATCAAAAAGGAGGAGATTGTTAGAACAAGATTGGTTCTGAACATATCTCAGAGTTTTGATGATAACAATAAATTATATTTTATATAATTGATACTCTGATGAACGTATTTAATTGTTTGAGCTGAAAATAAATGAAGAAGTTCTTTGATGAAAGAACTATTTGTTTTAGCGCAAGTGCTGATGCTGACTCTCGTAAGATAATTATTTAATTACATCTTCTAACGCTTAGCAAGTTTTTGTGTAAGCTATGTTTCAGAAGTTCTTTGAAAGCAAGCAATGATCAGAAGTACTTAGCAAACAAGCGTTGTTTAAGAAGATATGCAAGCATGTTCTGAATCAAGACGTGAAGCTAAGTTCTGAAAGAATGTAAAAGCTAACAAGTCTTGTCAAGCTTCAGGAAACATGCTCTTACAAGTGCCGTTTGTTCATTTAATGCAAAGACGGCTACATGCACTCAAATTTCTATGCTAGTTCATTGGAAAATAGAATAGTGCAAGGAAACACGCAAATATTTAATGCTCTCCACATTTGAAGGCAACAACGGTCATTTTTTTCTTACTATATATAGAATAACATTAATTGCAAGCCAACGACTGAACAAATTCAAAGAAGCAAGAACTACGTGAAAAATATTCTAGGCTCACAAATAATTTTCATACACTTTGTGCAATATTATTCTTAGTGAAAAATCACAGTTGTGATATAGCTTTCTTAGAAGCAAACATTGTTTCACTATCTGTAAAGATTTAACTCTTGTAATTGTTCCTTGAGAGACCAAGTTTGATCAGATTTCTCAAGTAGACTAGGACTAATTTAAGTCTTAGTGGTGTGAGTCACTTGTAAGATTACTTGTGCATTGTTAGTCACAACAGTTGTTGTGTGATTGTAATCAGTTGATTATAGTGAATTAAGTCCTTGTTGAGAAAGGCGAAATCACCTTGGCGGATGGACTGGAGTAGTTTGAGTTCAAACGAACCAGGATAAAAATAACCTTGTCTTTCCATTATTGTTGAGCCTTTAAGAAAAAGAAAAAGAGAAACTTATTCACCCCCCCTCCCCCTTCTAAGTGTTTTCTCACCCTTCAGGGGCTTATTACCGAAACAATGGTGAGATAACATCTAAAGGAGGAGAAAAAGAACATTTAAGACCTTTTGAGTAGGTAGATTCGCTCCTAGTTGCTCGCTTGCTCACAACAAAAAACATTTTATACACCAACACACTCATTTGAAACATTTTCTAAAGACAACACTTTGTACGCGTTTTTATAGAAACGAGAGCCATTACAAAGACACATTTTCAAAATCACTTTCAAAAACACACTCCACAAACACCTCTTTGAACTTTTTTCAAAACAACACCTTGTACGTGTTCTTATAGAAACGAGAACCATTACAAAGTCACATTTCCAAAATACTTTCAAAACCCACACCACAAGCACATTCAAACAAAAGCAAGTGATCTAGCAAGTAACTAAGAGCCCGTAGATAACTACGGATGAAAATTGTGTTAATACCTTCCCTTTTCATAATCTACCCCCCGAACTCAAGAAAACATCTCTAAAGGTCTTTCATGTTCTTTTCAGCCTTTCCTTTTGGATAAAAGAAAAGTCGGTGGCGACTCTTGCTATCTGCAACATTTGCGATCAAACGCAAAACACCAAAGTCAGTTCTCCTACCGTGTTACACCCAACATGATATAGCTCTCATGATACTAAGACCACCTCTAGTAGAAGATTGAGTTATGCTATCACATTTAACCCAGTGACTAGATTTGACTCCACAAACGAATTATCTTATACAAGAATCAATCTTACCACAAATGTCTTATGACAGTCAGAAATTATGCATTGTGTAAATAGGTATATAACTAAGCACAAAATTAGCAAGAGTCACCATCACATGCCTACTAAGAAGCCTATTTTTCCATTCAGCTAAACGAGAATTAATTTTATCAATGATAAATATTAAAGGTATATTAGAAGTTAATCATATCTTCAAATTTCATTACTTTTGCTCGAGATAAATTCTTAGAGGAAAGTAATTTAGATTTATGAACATTAATCTTCATATCAGAAGCTTTGCAAAAAAATTTGAAACATCTCATTAACTAGTCTAATTTGAGAAGTTTTGACTCTTGTAAAAAATAAACAATTATCTTTAAAGAAGATGAGAAATAATTGATATATTGTTAGAGATGTATACGGAGAGTCATTTATGTTATTCTATTTTTTCCTCAATTAATTAGATGTGAAATTTTTTTATCAAGTCCCATTGTGAAACTTTTTTATAAAGTCGCTTGTTTATTTTAAAAGATTGTGGAGTTGAAGAAAGTTTATGATATTTGTTAATTAATTGTATTATTTAGGAGTATATAGAATGCAATATTAAAGTTGTTGAAAATTTTGTGTTTTTCTTCAAATGATCTTATAATTACACTATTATTCAATTTCGTGCCTTCACTATAGTTTCTTCAACATAATTTGAAAGAATCAAAAGAAAATTTTCAATTTATTTGGCTATGTCTATATATTTATTGTGGAATGAGCGGAATTCTAAATAATTTGTTAAAAAAGAAACACCAATAAAATACATAATAAAAAAAGGTAAAAATATTAAAGTTTTGATTATTAATTAAATCAATGATGAACTTACTAACAATTACGAGTAGTTTCAATTAGTGATTAAATCAATAATGAATTTATAGGTAAAAATCAATGATGAATTTATAGGCAAAATAAATACATTTGTTCGATAATTTAATACGATTATACTTCACATTCTTAATTTTCAGTATTCTAAAAATATCCATGAATAAATTGAGGAGTGAACAAGAACTATATTTTCGATAGTTTTTCAAAAAAATTGGTTTTTTTGTGAAATTTTCAATTTGTTTTCTTTTCTTAAAAAATGAAGTCTAAAAACTTCAACTCATATTTTAGACATAAAATAAATTACAAAATAAGTCTAATAATCTAATAATATTAAACAGATTTCACAGTAAAACTTAATATTATTTTAATTTAATACCAATCAATAAATAGAGTCGAGTTAAAAAAGTCAGGTCAGTTCATCTAAAATAACGAATTAAATGAGTCAAGGCTCATACCCGACCCACTTTTACAGCAAGTCAATCAATACTAATCAATAAATAGAGTCGAGTTAAAAAAGTCAGGTCAGTTCATCTAAAATAACGAATTAAATGAGTCAAGGCTCATACCCGACCCACTTTTACTCCTAATAACAAGTGCTCTTGAGGCTTATAAAAAATGGTGTTCATTACTTTTATAAGTGATTGACTCGTATTTCCACAAAAAAAAAAATAATAATAAATGGAAATAAATGTTTAGAACAATAAAAAAGTAATGAACACAATTGATACAAAAAATAGATTAAACTTAATCATGCATTACAGATGGAATAGTATTATTGACCTGATGTGTTAAAAAAAAATAGATATGTTAGATTTCCATATAATTACTATTGAATACCCTCCTCCATTTGGGACAGGGGTTTCCATTCCGAGGTGGAACTAGCTTATGTGTTTCTAACAAGAAAGCTTACAGTTACACATTTACAAATATGTCATTTAATCAAATAATAGACAGCCAATGCAAGGCTCAATTACCAATCAAGGTGAACTAAAATATTCAAACTCCCTAGAATCCCTGTTTGTATGGCCCGTCTTTAGGGTTCAAGAATAAATAAATTGAACTGACAATTAGAAGTTCATATTGTAGGGTTCTTATTTTGTGAGTTGACTTGGCTAAGTGGGATAGATCATAGATGAACTCCTTTTAATGCAATTCAACACCAATAGTGGTTGTGGAGGTCACCTCTTGTTGGGTTGGTAAGGCTAAATATCTTTTTTCTTCCATATTCCAGTAGGAACACCATAACATATAGGAGATGCCCCTGTTAAGAAAGGAAGCTTGCAAACATTACGCGCCTGGCCCATGAAAGCTCCAATTTTGGGTCTGTGACTACAGTTTTTCTTAGGTGAATCACTCTCAGGCAACTCTCTTGATTTCTTCTTTGGGACTTTTTTCTTTGCTCTACCCTTGCCGCCCTTCAAATTCATGGCCTCAGATTCTTCTGATTCTAAGTTGCACTGCAGGCATTGCGTTGCAACTTCTGATCTTTCTTTCAACCAGGCATTAAACATAGCTTTGCCAAACCGATCTATATCCTTGTCTGTTACCTCCCATAGATTGGCAACAATGGATGGAGAACCGGCCAGCAAATATGACAGAGGAACACCTTGCGGTGCATAGCTCCCATGTAAAGTCAGTGAACCACTGCTGCACCCCATCAGAAGTGTGGCACCGCATTGTTGGAGGTTTAGAATCTTACGCGTAGGAATATATTGCACTCCTGTGAAGATAGATGCAATTCAATTAAGATGGAATGACAATATAATATTGCATTAGGTATTATTTTAGATGTTTTTTCAATCTTTACCACTTCCATGCCCGAAATACATAAATAAATCGTGATTCTCCAATGCAGAAGCCAATTCTTCGGCAGTGGGCTTACAACCCGCCTTTCCCTGTAAAGTAACATGATAAGAAAAAAAGACGTAAATATTCACTGGACTAGTCGATAAAACAACTAGCAGGAATACAATTAGACATAAATATTCTTCTTAGCCACTCTTATCAATTTAAACAAATACATTACCTCAAGGTTTTGATCTCTAAAAAAATTCTCAAATTCAATCTGAGTGCCACCGAGATCACCATCTGGATTTACTAAATAAAAAGCATCCAGAGGGTCTATATTAGGAAAGGGCGTCAAATTCTTGCCCACTTGTTCCCTATGGTTGTTGCCATTATCAAGAACTGCAGAGATGCTACTGACTGAAGGCATGCGGTAAATTTCCTGGTTCCTTAGAATGGGTAAATTTTCCCACGGGAGCATCTGTTGCAGCAGTAGAGTTTTGTTATTGAAGTCCGTATTAACTGATTAAAAGCACACAAGGCCACCAAAAATATATACAAATACAATCTGATTATATCTACTAAAAATACTAGTATTTCAAATGTCAATTATAAAGCATATGTAGATTGATTATTGAAATATGAAATAAACAAAAGCTAATGCTAAGCATTCCATACCACTAAATGAAGTATTCTTAATAATTTAAGAAGTGGAATTTAATGCTTCAAACTATTTCAAGACAACGCAATAAGCATGTCAGGAACAAATGATTTACCTGCACGTCAGAATCCAACACAAGAATGACAGGCTCTCTATTCAGAGAGTCGTCCACTTCCAGCATATTTAAGGCTTCATTTAATAGTTCAAAAGCAACCTCTGATGAATCTAATTTGTTGGCTTCATTTAAAAAAATACCACTCCTTGGTCCAGCACAATAGCCTCCTTTAGCAATGTAGCAGTCTTTCTTTGAGCATAGCTGTGAAATCAATGTCTTTCCTTCACTTATATATTTGGAGCCTCCAAGAACAATTTTAAGAATACCCTCATTTACATTCAATTTGCACTTAGATCTTAGATCATTCACAAGATTTTTAAGCACCGAGTCAAATTTTTTGCTATTTAACCATTCTCCAAGAAGCAAGCATTTCCATGAACCAAACCACAAATCTTCAAGGTTCCTGGAATGGTATGACAATTGCACAAGGAGAGATAACAATTAGCTTCTATTTTATGTTGACAGAATAACAATTAGTTTCTTGAAGGTTAACTAATTCAACGCTGTCAATGATGCCATTGTGCGTACTACTACTGTTTTAAATTTTAAGTTTGCTAGTAATGAAAGTATAAAGTCCATAGTTGTTCATCTACGGAGAAAGGATACAAAATATGCAAGATACATTCTCAAATCAAAGTCTAGAAATTGATGAAATCGCACAGAAGTAGTGTACCTCAGAAATTTATCAAGACAATGATCAAGGTTTGTTCTTTGCTTCCACCATGATATCCTATTCTGCATTGTATCTTCAAAACAAGCCGTTGATGACAAGTAATTCTCTTTCAAAATGGTTTTGAAGGCTGGTGCAATGTCATCAACCATTGTAAAACCCCATGGACAATGCCAGACTTTACTAGGATTCTGAAAGGTTTCAAAAAGGTCTGAACCAGTACTCAGATCACCCTCATCTGACAAAGGTGGTAAACAATTAGAAGTTACCTTGTCAAACTTCATGAAGTTTATAAGTATATGATTTAATATGATGTACTATCTACCAAGAGTAGCTATATACCTAGTAAAACAGAATCCAGAGGCAATAACATCACAACAGGTTCAGTCTTAAAATTCAGTCGTGAAACCAACAACCAGGCTTGAACACATGCAGGATACGGCAACAACTCCTGAAGTAAACTAGTATATTCAGGTTCTAGCAAACTTATACCGATGATAGTTGTGTGTGGAAGACCTGCAAAAAACTTCTTCACATATTCTGCAAGCTCTACAGTAGAATCAGGAGCAACCCTGCAACACGGAGAAACGCATACAACAGAATATTGCTTCAGATTGTGTTTGAATTGATTCATTGCCTTATTGTATGCAATAAGAACAATTGTTACCTAAGTGAGTCAAATGTCACTTTGTTGATGAAAGAAGATCCAGTAACATATGGACCCTGAAATTGAAACTGATTAATTTAATGTGCCGTGCTTGTCATATAATCCCTCTGTCCCAAAATAACTGACTCAGATGACTAATTCACACAAATTCAGAAAAATGTATAACTAAAAGAAAGAGAAATGTTTTAACTAAAATATTTTAATATAAATTGATGAATTCACTCTTATCATAAATACAAAGTGGAAGATAATGACTTGAGAGTGACATAAGAAGTATAAATTAAAGGGTACAATTGGAAGGAAAAGATATTGTATTGAAAATTGAAAGGGATAATTTTTATTTTACAAGTGAGTCATAGTTGTGTTGGACGGAGGAAGTATATCATAAATGCAGCATACAACATTTAATAAAAAGTAAGAAATCCAAAGATACATTTACAACAACAACCAAGCCTTATCCCATTAAGTGGGATCGGTTACATGGATCAAATTACGCTATAATGTTCTATCAAAGCCTTGTCCCAGCAAGGATACATTTGATTTGCTATCAAAATGAAGGACAGAACAGCGTAAAATGTGTAACATGTTTGGTATTGAAAGTGATTATTGAAGAGAATAAAACAAAAGATGAAGCATATAATAAATGCCTTTATATTTGTTTTCGAAGAGCTGGTCAAATACATCTCATATGGATACCACCATCCAAAAGTCGAAAATCCGTATAGATACCCTATGAATTTGGCAAAACCTCATCAACATTGAAAGAGAACTAGCAATACCAATCAGCCTACTACTACCAATCAGCCTCCTACAGTCCCACCCTAGACAGCCCTAATATTTCCCACTAACTAACAAGCAACAATGAAATAAATGTTGTGTTACAAAAAACTACATGTATTGTGTTGTTCAACTTGTGTTATCCCTTGGGCCTTAAGGTGCGTCCTTTTTCCTTATACATCGGACAATATATGGCATGAACATATGTTTATAAGTGGGGGCAACCCTCACCTTACAAGCCGATTTTGTAAGGTTGTGTTAGGCCCAAGCACAGTTCTAAGAATTAACAATCAACATTCATTGACAATAAGGAGGGTTCCGTTACATGTGTGGAGGAAGAGATGGTCAAAATGTGTCTTTCTAGTTCTAAGAAAAGAGTTGAACACTAATTCTAATGTTAAGGGACCTACCTCTGTTTCTAATATTTCAGGTGCGAGATTTGGTACATTTATTGATGACTATACTCAAGTAACTTGGATTATTTTATGAAGAACAATCATAAATACCATAGCTTTTATTCAATTTTATCATATAATACAGACACAATTTGAGAAACACATTGAGAGATTACAGTCTAACAATGGAAAAGATTATGTCAATCATAACTCTTAAGAAATGGGGTTAGGCCTAACTCCTCCCTACAAAACCGGCTTGTAAGGTGAGGATTGTCCCCCACTTATAAACACATGTTCAGGTCATATATTGTTCGATGTGAGACTCTTAACACCCTCTCTCACGCCTAGAAATTGGGTCTGGAGCGTGGAACTAAATGATGAGTGACCCAATGGATCTTAGATGAGACTCTGATACCATCTTAAGAAATGGGGTTAGGCCTAACTCATCCCTACAAAATCGGCTTGTAAGGTGAGGAATGCCCCCCACTTATAAACACATGTTCAGATCATATATTGTCTAATGTGAGACTCTTAACAATAACCTTTCAATCTTTACTAGTAAGCAAGGCATCATCCTTGAATTGACATGTGTCAATGCCCTACAACAGAATGAGGTCCTAGAGAAAAAAATGGTATTTACTTGAAGTTGCTCAAGCCCTTCTCATCCAAATGCCTGTCCTAAATCCATATTAGGGAGAAATAGTACTTATTATCATCTATATCATTAATTGGATACTATTTTAGGTCTTAGGTAATGTTAGTCCTATTAAGTTCATGATCTTACATTTCTCTTTATGATCCTATCGTGCAAAGTCTTGAGCCTCAAGTGTTGTTTTTGTTCACATTCATAAGCAACATCAAAGTAAATTGGATTATCGAGCAATAAAGTGTCTTTTTTGGGTTTTCACTTAAGAAAAGAGTGTAAGGTGCTACCATCCTCCTACTCATGGCGTTTTGTCTCTATGATGATACCTTTCATGAGTGTGTATCATTCACTCACACTCAGCTTCAGGTGGATAGTAGTAATAAATTGGAATTTGAGTTCAAGCTTTAGTCTAGGGTCATTGTCTACTTGAGCGTCCCTTCTCTAAGATATTTGCTTCTGATCCTAGTCTTGCTTTTGTTCTTACCTAGTCCTAGTCTTGTTTTTGAGATCTCTGTTTTTGTTTTTGGTCATGTTCTTCCTTAGCCTCCTGATTTGCAGGAAGCAACACCTCTAGCACTAGCAAAAAGCAAGGTTAATGAGTAAACATTAGAGTATCAAAGCAGAATACCTGGTCCAGTCCAGAAACAACTTCAACCTTCCACATCCAGGTGGATCTATATTGTCAAGCATAAATCAGATGGCGTTCTTGACAATACAAGTTAAGACTGGGGAAAAAGGATACAGTTAAACCTTTGACATTGATTATGAGAAGACATTTGCTCTAGTGGCAAAGTTGAACATTGTTCAGATTTTACTATCTCTTGTGGCACACTTTAGGTGGAAACTGTACATGTTTGATGTCAAAATGTTTTTTTTTTTTTTGCATGGAGACTTAGAGGAGGAAACAAAGTGAGCAGATTGAGAACGGCCTTATATGGGCTACAGAAATCTACTAGGGTGTAGAATTGAGATATTCACAAAAGTGATTGTGTCTTTGGCCTGTAAAACAAAAGAGGTTACACTTTTCCCTAAACATTCACGCTGCGAAAAACTAACTGTATTTTTTGTTATGTTGATGTCGATGATGTCATTATCACATGAATATAATCACATAAAATAATCCAACGGAGAATATTGTACTAAGTTTCTTGAAGATACACTATGAAGGTCCTATGGAGTTGTTTTGTGATGCTAAATTGGGTATTAGTATTGCTCATAATTATGTTCAACATGATAGAAAAAACATAGACCGACACTTCATCAAGGAGAAGTTGGATAGTGATTTGATTATTGCAATCTACATTCTCTCTGGACATCAACTACAAGATGTGTTAGTAAAGGGCTTTGCAACAAAACTATACAATTAACCTATTTGCAAGCTAGGAATTATAGATACTCATTCACCAGCTTGAGAGAGTGGTTTAAATAGACATATACTTTGTAAATATGTGAATCATTGTATTCGGCCCATTAATTAGGCATGTTAGGTACGGCATAGTCTATATAAGCAAGCTAGCATTTGTACACTTGACACAATATTGGTAAACATTAAGATCTGTCTCAACATCAACAAGAGATTGTACCTTGCATCGCCCAGTCAAATGTGAAAGAAACTGGTAAGTAAGATGAGTTCCAATTGAAGCCTGGTGGAAGTATGAAGACCAATAATTTTCATCGAAAACTTTGCTAAAAGGTGGCATTGAAAATTGTTCACTCAAGGAAGAAACCGTGTACATCACAGCAAGTAGTTTAGACACCTGTTGCAGTATCATTACAAAAACTAAGATCATAAACTGTGAAAGAGCTCAAGGTGATAAAATAATAGTAAAACCAAGGAAGAGATCAAAATGCTAAGAGTTGGGAATATTAAGCAACACATCATGGATTTGCACTCCATAATAAAAGGATTGTTAAGCAACACAATGTGCGTTTGTAATTCATAAAACAACATGAGTCATCAAGTTCACTTCTGACAACAAGTATACCACAACCAATTATATCAAATTAATAAGTTTTAAAATTTTGAATTCTATAAAGTGGATACTTTTTACTTGCCACCTATGAGGGTTGCTATATCAGAAACTTCTACATAACTTTCTGTCAAAACCCACGATTCTCTCTGTGTATTTTAGGATGTTTTATATTTGCTATAACAATTGTATCTTGCTATTATTAGGTCTAGGTATTTATGATCAATCCCATAATTACAGGGATTTGTTCCTTTAAGAATTAGTTGTCCATATTTCCTAAAATAGGCTGCAGGCTCATGTATATATACAGGTCTAATGATCTAATAATATAATAAGAAATATATTATTCCTTTTAAATCTGAGATGGTATCAGAGCTCCTGATCCTTGGGAGTCTCTGACCGTGTCGTAAACCCTAATTTGCAGCCTTCATTGCTGCTTGCAGCCTTCATTGTTGCACCCTCTTTAAGCCCTGTTGCACCCTCTCTACCTTGATCACATCTGGTCATGGCTGAGATCGTGAATCCCACTCTGGAAACTGGGGACAAACCCCAGACCAATGGAGAATTGCAGAATGTCCATTCTGCTTATCGGCTAAATGGGAAGAATTATCTCAAGTGGTCTCAACTCATTAAGAAGGACAAGGAAAAGGAAAGGTCAGTCACTTGACTGATAATATACCTGATGAAACAGATCCCAAGTTCAAATCCTGGGATGAAGAAGACTCCATGATTATGGCGTGGCTGTGGAATTCAATGGTCCCAGAAATCAGTGATACCTGCATGTTCCTTAAGTCAGCAAAGGAAATTTGGGAGGCAGTAGAACAGACTTATTCTAAGGCCAAGGATGCTGCTCAAATTTATGATGTAAAGGTGAAAATCGTGGCAGCCAAACAGGGAAACAAATCTGTTACTGAATATGCCAATCAACTCAAGTCTCTATGGATGGAATTGGACCACTAGAGTTATAAAAGCAAAGTGTTCAGAAGACTCAGCAATCCTTAAGAAGTATATTGAACAAGATAGAGTATATGATTTTTTGGTAGGCTTGAACCCTGAATATGACCAGGTCCGAATCCAAATCTTGGGAAAAGAGAAAGTCCCAGGGCTTAATGAAGTGGTAGCCATTATCCGGAGTGAAGAAAGCAGGAGAGGACTGATGCTGGAAACCTCAACCACTGAAAGCTCCGCAATGATAGCTGAAGGAGGAACAATCATGAGGAAAAATGGGGTTCCCAATATGGAGAAAAACCATGAGGAGGTCTGGTGTACCCACTGTAACAAGCCGCGTCACACAAGGGAGAAGTGTTGGAAATTACATGGAAGAACCCCAAGCCGAGAATGGGGGCAGAAAGGAGGCCCTCCAAAAAGGTGAGGACAAGGGCAAGCACACATTGCTAATGGTCAAAGGGAAGAATCTGGTCAGCTGAATCAAGAAGAAATAGAACGAGTAAGATCATTCCTTAGCAAACTCGAGAAGCCCACAGGTACATGCTCCTTAATATATTCTGGTAAGTTTCCACTTTCTTTTGGGCTTAATGTTTCAGATACACCCTTTACACATTACTGGATACTAGACTCTGGAGCCACTGACCATATGACCCCTATACCCAAATATTTCTCCACATATTCTCCATGTCCTAGCAACAAGAAAATTTCCACAGCAGATGGAACTCTTATAACTGCAGCAGGACAAGGAGAGGTCCAAATAAGCCCATCCATAATACTAAAAAATGTCCTTCATGTCCCCAAACTGTCCACCAATCTGATTTCTATACAAAAACTCACAAAAGATCTCTCATGTAATGCTGTTTTTTATAACAACTCTTGTATATTGCAGGACAAGAAATCGGGGAGGATGATTGGACATGCTAGAGAATGGAATGGTCTATACTACATGGAGGATCCTAATCTGCCTACCAACAGTCGATCTCTCGTATCTGAATCCACCATGACTAATAAAGAGAAGGTCCAACTATACCATTGTCGGCTAGGACACCCTTCATTTAGAGTTGTAAAAATGCTTTTTCCTTCCTTGTTTAAAAATTTAAATGTGGAGAGTCTCAACTGTGAGGTGTGTGAGCTTGCAAAACACAAGCGTGTACCTTTTCCCATTAGCAATAAAATAAGTCCTTCCCCTTTTGTTCTTGTTCACACTGATATATGGGGTCCGGCGTATGTTCCTAATATCTCAGGTGCTAAATGGTTTGTGACCTTCATAGATGATTGTACTCGGGTGACTTGGGTTTTTTTATTAAAACAAAAATCTGAAGTTAGTTCCGTGTTTTTTCAGTTTGTCTCAATGATTAAAAATCAATTTGGAGTTGGTATCAAAAGAATTAGGTCAGATAATGCTAAGGACTACTTTAATCTTATACTAAACTCTTCCTGTCAAAAGGAAGGGATAATCCATGAGTCCTCATGTGTGAACACACCCCAACAGAATGGGATTGCAGAAAGGAAAAATGGGCACCTATTAGATCAAACTCGGGCTCTACTTTTCCAAAACCATGTTCCTAAGAGATTTTGGGGGGAAGCCCTTCTTACTGCCACCTACCTAATCAATAGGTTACCCACAAAAATATTAGACTCAAAAAGTCCCATGGAAGTCCTATCCTCATTCTACCCACACTTGGATCCTACAAATAAACTCCAACCTAGAATATTTGGGTGTGTATCCTTTGTACATATTCATAGCAATGAAAGGGGAAAATTAGACCCTAGGGCTATCAAATGTGTATTCTTAGAGTACTCTTCCACACAAAAGGGATACAAATGTTATCAACCCCTATCAAAAATTCTATGTGGCAAGAGATGTCACCTTCAACGAACAAGAGAGCTACTTCAAGCAGCCTCATCTTTAGAGGGAGAATGTACGAGAGGAAGATGAGACTCTCGTGCTTCCAAATATGACATTTGGACCTGAAAGTGGGACAAATGGCATTGTTGTCCCTGAAAGACGGACAGAACCAGCACCTGAATGCATTGCTGTCCCTGAAAGACGGACAGAACCAGCACCTGAATGCATTGTTGTCCCTGAAAGACGGATAGAACCTAAATCAACAGCACCGGAATCAACAGCAGGACCTGAACCTGCACCTAATGGTGGAAAATTTGGGGAAAATCTGGTATATACAAGGAGAGAAAAGGCCATTCTAGAATCTGACAATGTCCAAGAATCCAACCCATCATCTCTGCATGAGGTAATATCTTCAAATCCTATAAACTCCAATGATTCTAATGAGTTTGTTTATGAAAATCCAGAAGCACAGATAGACCAAAATCTAGACCTACCCATTGCCCTCAGAAAGGGAACTAGAACATGCACCCAACAACCACTTTACCCACCATCAAATTTCTTATCCTTTGAAAAATTCTCACCTACCCATAGAACCTTTCTCACAAACCTCAACTCCACACACACACCTTCATTTGTATCTGAAGCATTATCTGACAGGAATTGGAAACAAGCCATGGATGTGGAAATGGAGGCATTAAACAAGAATAGGACTTGGGAACTTGTCACCCTACCAACTGGAAAAAAAAACAGTAGGATGCAAGTGGGTATATACAATAAAGTACAGGGCTGATGGGACCATTGAACGCTACAAGGCAAGATTAGTGGCGAAAGGTTTCACTCAAACCTATGGAGTAGATTACTTGGAGACATTTGCCCCGGTTGCTAAGATGAACACGGTCAGAGTAATATTGTCATTAGCAGCAAATCATGATTGGGACCTGCAACAATTCGATGTGAAGAATGCTTTTTTACATGGAGACCTTGAAGAAGAAATATACATGGAGTTGCCCCCTGGTTACAGTGGACAGGTTGCTGCTGGAACTGTTTGCAAGTTAAGAAAGGCTCTATATGGGCTGAAACAATCCCCAAGAGCATGGTTTGGAAGATTCACCAAAGTTATGATAAATTTGGGCTACAAACAGAGCCAAGGGGATCACACATTATTTATCAAACATTCAGTTTCAGGGGGAGTAACGATTTTATTAGTGTATGTGGATGATATTATAGTAAGTGGGGATGATAAAAAGGAGCAGCAAGTGCAAAGTGAATGTCTTGCCAAGGAATTCGAGATCAAGACATTAGGGAGACTTAAATATTTTTTGGGAATTGAAGTGGCCCATTCCAAGAAGGGAATCTTCATATCTCAACAAAAATATATTACTGACTTGCTTAAAGAAACAGGTAAGACAGCCTGCAAACCAGCAAGTATTCCAGTTGACCCGAATATAAAGTTGGGAAGTGCGGAGGAGGATATTGCTGTGGACAAGGAAATGTATCAAAGACTTGTAGGCAAGCTTATTTACCTATCTCACACAAGACCAGACATTGCTTTTGTTGTAAGTTTAGTTAGCCAGTTTATGCACCAACCAAAGGAAGCACATTTGCAAGCTGCTCTTAGAATTGTGCAGTATTTGAAAGGGAACCCTGGAAGAGGGATTTTGTTCAAACGAAACAAGAGTGTAAGTCTTGAAGCATATACGGATGCAGACTATGCGGGGTCAGTGGTAGATAGAAGATCAACTACTGGATACTGCACCTTCCTTGGTGGAAACCTAGTGACTTGGAAGAGCAAAAAACAGAGTGTGGTAGCTAGATCGAGTGCGGAAGCAGAATTTCGAGCAATGGCCCATGGAATATGTGAACTTCTATGGCTGAAGATTATATTGGAAGACTTGAAGATAAAGTGGGATGAACCTATTAGGTTATATTGTGACAACAAATCTGCAATTAGTATAGCCCACAACCCGGTGCAGCATGATAGAACTAAACACATTGAGGTTGACAAACACTTTATCAAGGAAAAACTAGACAGTGGTATGATTTGCACACCATATGTATCCACTCATAACCAACTTGCAGACATACTCACCAAGGGGCTGAACTGCATTAACTTTGAAAGGATTATATCCAAGCTGGGAATGGAAAACACCTATTCACCAGCTTGAGGGGGAGTGTCAAAACCCACGATTCTCTCTGTGTATTTTAGGATGTTTTATATTTGCTATTACAATTGTATCTTGCTATTATTAGGTCTAGGTATTTATGATCAATCCCATAATTACAGGGATTTGTTCCTTTAAGAATTAGTTGTTCATATTTCCTAAAATAGGCTGCAGGCTCATGTATATATACAGGTCTAATGATCTAATAATATAATAAGAAATATATTATTCCTTTTAAATCTGAGACTTTCAATTATAAAACATGAAGAGTACTCCCTCCGTCCCAAAATATAAGAGAGAAAAATACATTTTTGTTGTCCCAAAATATAAGAGAAAAAATCAACTTTCATTCTTTTCAATGTAAAATTAAATGCAAATTGCATTTAATTTATCTTCTCTCTCATCTTTTCTATAACCATCAACCAATTAGAACTCTTTTTACATATTCCTATGCATTTTTTTCAATAAAAATCACAAATCAAATCATTATGTTTTTACTTTTTTTAATAAGTGTGATTTTATTTTTTTCTCTTATATTTTGGGACGGAGGGAGTATATACATTTGAGCCTTGCACATACAGGAGGTGGATTTCAATTAGCATAATAGAAAGTTGTAGAAACCCATGAGTTACATTTTTCAGATTTAGCTTTATTTTATTTAGCTTTAAGTTGTCAAGACAGGTATCAATATCTGAGGTGTTCATGATTACGAGATTATAGCCAGTTAAAAAATTAAACCAATTACGCAAAAACTGTCACAAAATAATAACATGAGGATAGAGAATGTGACCTTTTGAAAAACTATGGGAACCTCACGAGAGAGTACAAAAGCTACCCTCAGCCAAGAAACAATGTCTTCAAACTTGATGTGAGATAGATTACAAAAAATGTTCCTGGAAAAACCAAAATGTCCCAAGTCTATAAAAGTTAGTAATGAAATTTTATGTTCCCAAAGCAGCAAATATAACAAATTTTATAAACATAACTCATAGGGAGAAACTATTGTAAGAATACAGGAAAGCAATACAAGATTTCCACAAGAGCGTAAGGGATTTGGAAGAGCAGGAAAAAATTGGATTCAGAAATCAATATTTTTCGCAACAATTTTTAGGTGCTTTTTTTATCAGAATATCATTGGATAATTGTCTGTTAAGAACTGCCAACTTTTATCTATTACAACTTAGATGACACTCCTAGTAAAGCAAACACATTTTATCTTGATGACAAACATGCAGCTTAAATGCCATATTTGGAAGACGCAAACATTTTCTCAAAGCATGTAAAAAAGTTATAGCTATACATTGCAAGTTAGTAAACCATTCATATATTATTGCTGAAATGACAGGCCAGCCACGGTCAGAATGTTTTGGATGCCAATGCCTACCTTGTAAACTTGGAATGATAGCATTTCAAAGAATACCAACATATGCTATAAACTATCTCTGCACGCTCAATAGTGAATACATCTCCTGGTATCTCCTTGGCAACCAATTGGTGAAAAGAATCTAGAGGAATTGATGAAAAACTGTGGCAGAATGGGTTTCTGACAAACAGAAGAGAGATGTTTTTTAGAAGAATTTTCTGTGCTTCATCGATTTGACCAGGATATGCAAAACACTTCACTGCAGATGAACATTCATATTAGAAAAAGAAAAGGCAAAAACATTATTCAATAAGGGTATATTTAAATTAGTGCTATAAAGTGGAATCGAGTAAAATGATATAACATTCAATTATTTTTAAATCTAACTATATTCCATTTCATTCAAGGTGTGTGTATATATATAAGCCAACATGAGTAAACTTTGAGTCAATCTATTTTAATGGCAAGCTAGTTATGGAACCAATGCTTAATCTGGTGAAGTTACAGCTAACGCTTAAAAGTTCTGAATGTGTTACCACTCTATTCATTAGGTACAAATGACAACAGAACAATCATGCATTTACACAAGACAAAAAATGTGAAATGGTACACATACCTACTCGAGTGAGAAGCTTCATTGAAAGTTTCCTCCGAACAAACTCCCATTTGAGAATAATAAAATCATTCAACAACCCAGATTTAACAACTTCAGATGGAAGGTAGTTCCAACACTTCATTTTAGATAAAATGCATGATATTGCACACGTTGAAGAAATGCTGCAACCTATCTCCTTTGAAATTGACTCTCTCCGACTAAGCATGTCAGACGGATCAGAAATTTGGTTACCTTCCTCATTTTCATTGACTTCTAACTTCCTAGAAATGTTTGTGTGCTGGTTCTGTATAGATCGATATCTGGAACGAGTTAACCTTGGTTTATTCTCAACTACTACGGTTGGTTCATTTGATATAACCTTGGCAGAATTTTTAGACTTTCTACTTTGTTTGGGTTCAATCTTGGTTACTGGCCCTACTTTAGTAGATCTCGTTACATCTTCACCAGCTTCATTCATTATAGAGCAAGTACAAGTCTTTCCAGCAGCACATTTTGCATCTGTTGCAGTTGCATAACCATTGTCTTCAGGACAACTCAGAGGGTTTTTCCATTCAGAAAGAGTTAATTTATTCAGAGCTGATGTGTACCAATTTTTTGCAGTCTCTTCAGAAACACCCTCTTCACGAGCGTTAAATTTACTTTGACACAAATCTCCAAAATACCCGTCAAGAGTGACTTCAAGTATTAATTTACACTTTGAGCAACAAAATGGTGTGCTGTTATCATTCAAAATCTGCTGGGCACATAGAAGTTCCTTTTCTGCCAAATCCCAAAGTCTTTTCCTAAGGTATAGTTTTCCTAGTAATTCAAAGCAAAAAAATGGCAAATTAATTGTACACTAAAAATAGAGAACAAAATCTACCAATACAATGGGGGAATAAGCCTACAAGTAACTTACACACCTAAGAGGGAAGAGAAAGCAACAATAAATAATGGCAACTGAAGCGAATAGGATATTGCTTTCCCCCATCGAATATAGGTTTCAGCCTCAATTGCATCTCCGATAATTTCATAGATGACTCCTATCTGCATGTATATATGGCATTGAAATGTAGTCCATAAAAAGTTTTTCTACAAATACTATAAGTACATATATGATAGGATGACAAGATATAAGCCAAACCTGGAGAGTGGTCTCAAGGTAACACTGCATAACTTTCCAAGGACTCAGATAATTTTCTTTTGAGTCCTGTGATATCGAATCAAATAGAAAAACTTCCCGGACAACTGACTTGTCTACTTCAATTTTATCAACACCATCCATAAGATTCTTCGAAAAATCAACTTTTATATTATTCTCTTCATTATCCTTTTGAAAAATGTGCCTAAATTTCACTTTGAAGAGTTTGGCATGTAATCTATGAGCTTCTTTTGCAAATGAAAGAGCCTAATAAGTAGTAAGTAAAAAAGAGAAGAAATACTATAAGTCAGGACACAAGGCAAGGGCAAAGATATGTAAAACATCAAAAATTATGACATTTGTTGATATTTGTATATATATCATAGCATTAGTTGTAATCTCTCTATATATAATAAAGTCTCCCCGGAGTGCTTTTCAAAACACACAGTTTAACCTAAATGTCTCTTAGTCTCTCCTAATTCAATATGGTATCAGAGCCTACTAAGAGACAATTCTTCGTCGTGTTTTACCCGGTTGACCCACTGTCTTCCTGTGATAATTTTTTATTTTTTTTGCAAACCGGGTCATCACTCCGAATTGCCTCCCACTTTCCAAAATTCTCCGGTAACCACCGGACTGCTGCTGCCATCCGCCGCTACTAATTCCGGCGACCTTCCGACAAACTAATCCTACCGGCAAAAGCGCCTCCTTTGATCCGGCCGATTCCGACGATTTTAACACCACTGCACTCGCCACCGTGCAACTTTTCCAAATCCGATACTCATAGCTACTCCTCAGAATATTACGTCAAACTACGATGATTTCCTCAAGTGGTATCAGAATTATCAGAACTCAGATTCTACTGCTTCGATTGCACACACTGGTAATTCATTTGTTTGCTTCTCTCAATCATCTTCTCTTGGACCTTGGGTCCTTGATTCCGGTACGTCTGATCATGTTACTGGTAATAAAAATATTTTCTCTTCCCTCTCTACCTCTGGTTTCTTACCTACAATAACTTCTGCCAATGGTTCTCAAACCCGATCCGAAAGAATTAGTACTGTTCAAATCCTACCTTCTCTCTGTTACTTCTGTTCTCTAAGTACCTAATTGTCCATTTAATTTACTTTCAATCATTTGTTTAACTTGTTCTCTTGATTGTATTGTCACCTTCACTAATAGTAATGTCACCCTGCAGGATCGGAGTTCGGGACGGACAATTAGCGTCGGATGTGAGTCTCAAGGCCTTTATTATCTCTCAGTGTCATCTCAGATATGCTCAGCCAAAGATTCTCCACTCACAATCCATGCTCAGTTAGGTCATCCTAGTCTTCCCAAATTACAAAAGTTGGTACCAAGTTTATTGAAAGTATCTAATTTACATTGTGAGTCGTGTCAGTTGGGGAAACACACTCGTAGTCAATTTCCCAATCGAGTCAATAAACGAGCTTCGTCCCCTTTTATTTTAGTTCACTACGATGTTTGGAGTCCCTCACGTACTATCTCTACTCTTGAGTCTAGGTATTTTGTCACCTTTATTGATGATTTTTCACGTTGCACGTGGTTATTTTTAATGAAAAATAGATCAGAATTATTTTCTATTTTTGAAAAATTTTATAAAGAAATAAAAACTCAGTTTGGTGTGTCTATTCGTACCTTAAGAAGTGATAATGCTCGTGAATATTTATCCCAACAATGTCAAACTTTTATGTCCAGTAACGGTATTCTCCACCAAACATCTTGTCCTCATACACCTCAACAAAACGGGGTAACTGAAAGCAAAAATCGCCATCTTGTAGAAACCACTCGGACCATACTTCTCCATGGTAACGTTCCACTTCGGTTTTGGGGAGACGTTGTGCTAACGGCATATGTTACCTTATAAATCGCATGCCATCATCTGTCCTTAACAATAAAATCCCTCATTCAATCCTTTTTCCCCATTTCCCCCTTCACCCAATTCCTCCCCGAGTCTTCGGGTCTACATGTTTTGAACACAATCTCTCTCCTGGTCTTGATAAACTATCAGCTCGATCACTAAAGTGTGTTTTTCTTGGTTATCATCAATCCCAAAAAGGTTATCGTTGCTATTCACATACCCTACAATGATACCTCAGGTCGGCCGATGTCACCTTCTTCGAGTCTGTTCCATATTTCGAGTCCAGTCAAGTAACTCCGGAACCCTTTCAAGAGAGTACTCTCACACCTCTTCTGGAAGTCTCATATGTCATTATCCCCCATCATTCTAGGGAACCTGGCCCACTAGATAACCCTACGGTTAACCCCCTGACTTCTCGTCCACTTCAAACATATCAGCGTCATCAACCAACATTTGTCGTACCTGTCCCTGAGGTCGTACTTGTCCCTGAGATCGTACATGTCTCTGAGGTCGTACATGTCCCTAAGGTCATTGCAGACTCTCCTCTGACGCTCTCGCTCACCGGATCCGATCCTGCAATCTGATTCTGATCTTTCGATTGCCCTTCGAAAAGGTATACGTCAAACACGAAATCCTTCTCCACATTATATTGATTTATGTTATCATCGTCTTTCCCCTTTGCAGTATACTTGTTTGTCTTCTTTGTCTTCTGTTTCTATTCCTAACACTCCAGGTGAAGCATTATCTCACCCTGAGTGGAGGCAAGCAATGATTGATGAAATGCGTGCTCTTCAAAGCAGTGGTATCTGGGAACTGGTTCCTCTACCCCCTGGGAAATCTTTAGTAGGTTGTCGTTGGCTTTATACATTGAAAATTGATCCAGATGGTAAGATTGATTGATTTAAAGCTCGCTTGGTAGCCAAAGGATACACTCAGATTTTTTAATTGGATTATAGTGATACACATTTTCGCCTGTAGTCAAGATGGCATCTGTTAGACTTCTTCTAGCCATTGCAGCCATTCGACATTGGCCTCTTCATCAACTTGACATCAAAAATGCATTTTTACATGGTGATCTTAAAGAAGTATATATGGAGCAACCACCTAAGTTTGTTGCTCAGGGGGAGTCATCGTATATGATTTGTAGGTTACACAGTTCTCTTTATGGTCTTAAGCAATCTTCGAGAGCTTGGTTTGGCAGATTCAGCACTGTAGTACAACAAGTTGGGTATGATCAGCTCAAGGGTGTATTTATCTTATTATGTATGTAGATGATATTGTCATAACTGGTAGTGATGAGCAGGGAATACTCCAGTTGAAACAACACCTCTCGAATCAATTTCAGATAAAAGATCTTGGTAAACTCCGATATTTCTTGGGTATTGAGGTAGCCCAATCCAAAGATGGTTTGGTGATTTCTCAGCGGAAATATGCTATGGATATTTTGGAAGAAACAGGTTTATTGAATGCTAAACCACCAGCTGATACTCCTATGGATCCAAGTGTCAAACGACTACCCAATCAGGGGGAGCCTCTATCAGACTCGGGAAGATATAGAAGATTGGTTGGAAAGTTGAGTTATCCCACAATCACTCGTCCAGACATTTCTTTTGCAGTTAGTGTGATAAGTCAGTTCCTAAATTCCCCTTGTCAGAAACACATGAATGTTGTTATCCGGATTCTGAGATACATCAAATGTGCTCCAGGAAAAGGTTTAGTGTATGAAGATAGAGGACATACTCAGATAGTTGGATGCTCTGATGCTGATTGGGCAGGATCATCAATTGATGTACGATCCACCTCTGGGTATTGTGTACTTGTTGGAGGAAACCTTATATCTTGGAAAAGTAAAAAACAAAACGTAGTTGCAAGATCAAGCGCCAAGGCAGAGTATAGAGCCATGGCAATGGCAACATGTGAACTTGTTTGGTTAAAACAGTTGCTCAAGGAACTTAAAATTGAAGAAGCAAGACCAATGACACTTATTTGTGATAATCAAGTTGCATTGCATGCTTCCAATTCGGTCTTCCATGAGCAGACCAAACATATTGAGATTGACTGTCACTTTGTCAAAGAGAAGATCGAGTCAGGCGAGATCACCACAAGCTTTGTCAACTCGAATGATCAATTGACAGATGTGTTTACAAAATCTCTGCGAAGTCCCAGAACTAATTATATATGTGGCAAGCTTGATGCATTTGACTATATGCTCAAGCTTGAGGGGGAGTGTTGATATATATATATATATATATATATATATATATATATATATATATATATATATATATATATATATAGTTAAGAATATTTGTATGTAGAATAGTCACACATCGACTATATCATAGCATAAGTTGTAATCTCTCTATATATAATAAAATCTCCGTAGTGCTTTTCAAAACATACAGTTTAACCTAAATGTCTCTTAGTCTCTCCTAATTCAATAACATTCATTGATACGTCATCTGTAAATGCCCATAAAAAAACACACACAACTTTGAAGTTTAAAAACATTAGGGAAAAAGCTCAGAAGATCGTTAGGGTAGAAAAAACATTGAGAAGTCATCACACATTAAAGTTTAACCCGGTTTTGGCTGACTAGAAAGGAAAAAACACAGAAGTTGAAAATCCATCACCAACACTGCAATCTCTCACACGAAAAAGCGGCACTTATGACAAATATGAGACATGCTTCAAATAGCAATCATATAGTTAAGTTAAAGGGGTGACGATCAGTATTTGCCAGGACTAAAATCAAAAAATTGTTACTTACCTCTATTAACTTCCCATTTGCAATAAGTCTTTCGCACAAATCACTATAAAGATATCCCGCAAGAAAAGTGCAATGACTTGGAACAGGATCCTAGGAGAAGATTAACAGAGAATGGAGTGATGAGCTTAAATAAAAGAAAGGTGTAAATATAAAACTAACAATTTTGACATTCGGAAAAAAAAAAAAAAAGCATCATAAATCATGTCTAAGCAGGGCCATACATTTGAAATCAGTTTGAGTGCAGCTTTTTGAACTTCGTCAACTGTAATTTCTACTTGAAAAGAGCTACCATCGTCGCAAGAACTCCTATGAGAGCTTGCAAACAAAAAAGCAAAATTTTGTTGAAACCCTATTAATGAGGATTGGTTTCCCTTAAGATTATGCATCCAAAAATTAATATTTGAAAGATCGCTAAACTCATCCAACGAATTCAGGATGAATGCCTCATTCACAGGCGAAACGCAGAGTGCATGACTAAGCCTCCTACTTTCCCACAATAAGGTCAACCACTTCTCCACTGAGACACTCTTCAATTTGAACATTCTGATCAACAGCCGGTATGCATCATTGAAGAGTTCCGTGAAACCCTGAAGAGATGTTGAAACCAAAATACTCTGACACATGTATCTTATGCAAAAACTACATAAACCAATAATACTTAATAAAAGCATACCTTCAAGTGTAATAAATCGATTATGTTATAGAGTAGAATCATTATACTGTCAGACAATACAGAACACCCTCCCTCTTCAAAGCAATCCAGACAAGAAATGTCCAACCATAAATCCAAAGCAGCCTTGACATCTTCAAAAATTTGCTGCTTAATGGCACAATCAAAGATAGGTTTGTTTGATTAATAATAAAACTGTTATTGCCAAAAAAAAAATATAGGTTTGTTTGATTAATAATAAAATGATTACGGAGAGTTATGAAAATTAAAAAAAAAAATTCAAATTGTAAGAAAACTTAAAGAAATGAGAATAAAAAACACATCAATGAAGTTGTCAAATCCCTCAACATATGTAAGGAAAACCACGAAAACTGACAATTGTGACATCATCAGTGACAATTCACTGCCCAAAAAAAAAAATAGAAACACTATCTAATGACAGTGGAAAATATCAGCATGTTTTAGTACCTTTGAACAAGGTTCAGCTTCCTGGGTACACAGTGCTCGTAGACAATATGCCACACACAATTGATGATAAACGGGAATTGCTTTGGAACACATCTCACCAGGAATATCCTTCTGCGGAAGTGAACTTCATATTAATGGTCTACACATCTCTAATATAAAAAGCTAAACAGAAAATAGTGGTTAGATAGTTGAAGGAGCTTACCATAATGACAATTGCTTTCGACAAACAATGAATGCAGTCTCGGACACCATCTATGCCGGAAAATCTTAATGCCTTTCCCTTTCTGACTAGAGTGTGTGCCTTTTGCAAACAGCTAATTGGCGTGATATATATATTTTGAAGGAGGATGTTCGTGACTTTCAGTTGCATTTTCTGACAAAATTCAGGGTATTTATCACTCATCTCCTCGTAGGCAGTAAGTTCCTAAGCAGACAAGGAGGAAAAGATACACAGAGACAAAAGGTCTAATAAACATCAAATGCATAGCAGGATAATTATGATGAAGTTTCTATTTGAAGGAAATGTCTACAATGTGGCTGAACCTGCTCTAAGATTGTGCCAATGTTCCTCTTTGACAATTCTGTAGAAGATGACAATAGACTGTATAAGCTAGGGGGGTCAACTTTGTCATCAACATCTGTAACACGTCTGCATTCAATCTACATGCATACAATATGATATAATTATCAATAGGAAGAAGCAAACTTAATGTAATTGTTGAAAACAAAATTTAAATGCTTTGTAATGCTACCTTCACCCACTTCTTTACCACAGATATAGGAGCTGGAATCTTCTCATACAGATCGCTAACACTAGACCAGTTTTTAAGAGTCTCAATCAATTTCTTCCCTATCTTAAGATTGTTGGTTTCATAAAGAAAATCTAAAAGTAAGGCACTTCTTGTGTAAGCATCCATTACAAACTCTTTCAAAACATCTTCTGACAGATTACCATAGTGGCATTTAATACAGAGCCATGATGCTTTACAGCACAAGTTTAGAACCTTTGAAGCCTGTAGTGATACATCATACCAGAACAAAAGTAACTTAGCAAAAGATACTAAATTCTTAATACATACTTTTAGTCACAACTTACTCACATTGTCATTGTTCAACCACAATCTAAATACTTGAACTTATTTAATTTGGCAAAGTAATGATCAACAGAAAGAATACAGCAGTCTTGCAGGAGTGGAGGTGTTTTTACTAGGTTAAGCACTCTTACTTTTATGCACACTGTTGGAGAATCCGTGATTCTCTCTTTTTAATAGTGCAGATTTTCTATTTTAATTTCATAATATGTTGTTTCTATTTCCTAAAATATCTCCTTGATTCAAGGAAGAATACTAATTGTATTCTCCCTGTTTAAACCAGGCTTTGGCTGAGGAATAAACATAACAGCATTCACCCTATTTATTTCTACATGGGGTTGGAGAAAGCTATGTTGTTAATCTCAAATAGCATTGCAAAGCACCAACCTCCTAAAATTCTAGACAGCGTGATAGTCATTATTGCAAAGGCTAAAAATCAATGTACAAAGTAAACACAGATACTCAAAAATAGAAAAAGAGACTAGCATGCTTAATAGTTAAAGAACCTATAGTATAGAGCAATAAAACTTAAGAAGAGAAGAACATAATAGAATTGAACAAAAAGTAGGAAGAACAGAACGATTGTTTGTGAGCAAGAACATAATAGAAAGAAAAACTGAACATTACTCTTAAAAGGGTTTGGATTGAAATTTATACTCTTAAAAAAGACAACAGTTTAAAAGAAAGAATTTGAGAAATTGATCCTAGAAACTCTAATAGAGGATGCAATAGCAGTTTGCAAACGCAACTACCATTATTGCTGAAAGAAAAAATAGGCACTTACTGGAGGCGGCTAGAGCTTTACTTTTTTCAAATAAAGTAACAAAATATTTGTGGGGTGAAGTGAAGCAACTGTGAAATCAAATAAAGTACCGTATCTACTTAACAAGGTGTGTGCCTTTCAAAGTCCTCATTCAAACTCCAAATCATATTTGCAAATGCCCTCCAAAGTCCTTAATTTCAAACTCTAATTCATATTTTCAAAGAATGTTTTCATGTTACTCATGGTTCTGATTTGAGTTAAGAAAAATTGGTTGCACAGCTTTTGTCCATGAACATAAGAATCCTGGCAAACTTGAACGATGTGCTATAAAATGTGTTTTTGTTGGGTACTTTCCAACCAATAAGGGATGTTTGATCTAAAAAGCAATATAATGTTGGTCACGGAGATGTCACATGCTTTGAAAAAGAAATCATTATTTTGCTGATACTCATCTTCGGGGAGAGCTTAGAGAAAGATTCCTTTTAAATTGAGGACAAAAGTTTTTTTTTGATAAATTTGTGAATATGACAAAGTTCCAAGACTTGCACTTTTCCACCAAAAGAAAATGGTCATGATTTATTATTTGAACCTACCCCTGCAATGAGTAAGGAACCTAGTGAATTTGTGCCTACATTTTTTCATGAAGAAAACAATGAAAATCTTTAAAATGATAATAATGATGAATTAATTGAATTGCCACAAAATGATGAGTGTGTAAAGAAAAAAGGTTTGAAGTAGGAAATGGGACTTGAAAAGGAAAAATATTTGTCATAAAAAACCATAAAGAAGGTGATGAATCTTCATCTCAAAATGTTGCCAGGAATCATAATCGGGGTGAATCAACCTCCTAAAACAAACAAAATATACAAGTCTATTTTTATTCTAAGAGCACTGTTTTGTATCCTAATGATATAGAGTAGATCTTGCACTAAGCATCATATGTCTACTTTTATACCATAATTAAAATTGTCTGCATCTTTTTCAGCGTTCACCTTACGATTGTCTAGTGTAGAGATTCCAAAGAATATATAAGATGCTCTAGAAGTTCCAAAGTGGAGGCACATTGTACTTAAAGGAGATGAGAGCTCTTGAGAAGAACAAAACTTGGTGTTATGACACTACAGGATGGCAAGAAAATCATGGGACGTCAGTGAGGGGAGTAGGTGTTTACTGAGAAGTATAATTCAGGCCAACTAAAAGCTATAAGGGTCACTTGGTGACTAAGGGTTTTAGTCAGAGATATTTGAAGGCCAATCCTAGAAAGGGCCTAATTTTAAGAAGACTAGTGAGAGAAATGTGTTTATCTCTTCTAAGGAAGACTAGGCAGGTTCAATCACAAACCGAAGGTCAACTTCTGAATATTGTACATGTGTCGGTGATAATCTTGTGACATGGATAAGTAAAAAACAAGGAGTTGGGGTAATGCAGAAGTCTGGTTTATGGTTATAGCTCAAGGTATTTGTACAGGAATATGGATTTACATAATCTTGGAGGAACTGAAGATGAAAATTGAGCTTCTATTAAAATTAGGGTTAAATATGTTTTTGGTCTCTATAATTATCACAAATTTCATTTTTAATCCTTATTAAAAAAATGACACGTTTTAGTCCTTACAAAATTATTGTGCACCTAGTTTTAGTCTCTGCTGTTAAACCAATGTGTATTTTTAAATGACTATTTTTTAAACATGTTTAGAACGTTATAAAAAGTTCTTCGGAAAAACAGAAACTAAAAATTTGATTTCTAAATAATAGAGATTTTCATTACTTTTATCAATATCTTTTGAAATTTAAAAAAATCATATTTAATTCTTCTAATTTTAAAAAATTCTAAAATTTGATAAAGAAACATTTTATAATATTCTAAACACGTATGAAAAATATTATTCAAAAATTTAAAATTTTAAGGGTAATTAAATTTTTTTTTAAATTGTAAAAAATAGCAGGGACTAAAGTTTCACGAACAAAAATTTTTTAGGGATCAGAATTTGTCATTTTTTTAATAGGGACTAAAAATGAAATTTGAAATATTTATAAGGATCAAAAACATATTTAACTCTTAAAATTATATTTTAACAATGAAGTTGTCATTGTTGGTGCAAGGTAATGAAAGGGGAGAAGAAGAATGAGCAATGAATGATAACAAAGAGGACTACTATTGTATATCAAATAGAGGAATGAATGAGTTACAATATTGATAGCCTAGGTAGCATATTTATACTAAAAGTGAAAATGCCAAAAAGCCCTAATAAAGAATAAGCATTGGGAATTGTAGACATTAACTAAATTACATTTCCAATACCATCCCTTAATTTAGATATTCTATCAGAAACTAACAACACCAATTTCATCTCTCAAATGAAGAAATTGATCTGTTTTAACTGCCTTTGTCAGAAGATCTGCAAGCTGTTTCTGAGTGCTACAGTGCAGAACTTCTAACACTCCTTTCTGCACTTGACTTCTGAGAAAGTGATACTTCGTCTCAATGTGCTTGCTTCTTCCATGTAGCACTAGATTCTTGGCAAGATCAATTGCAGACTTATTATCAATCATTAGCTTCAGAGGTTCCTCAACTTCAACCTTCAGATCATGCAGGAGATTCAGAAGCCAAACTGCTTGACAAGCAGCTACAGCACCTGCGATATACTCAGCTTCACATGTTGACAGAGCCACGACAGACTATTTCTTGGAACTCCAAGAAATGAGACCTCCCAGAAATTTAAACAAGTATCCAGAAGTACTTCTCCTGTCCACTTTGTCTGCGCACCAGTCAGAATCAGAATAACTTACTAATTCTGATTTTGTCTTTCTTTCAGAAGGAAACAGCACTCCATATCTCAAAGTTCCCTTGATATATCTCAGAATTCTGACAGCAGCTTGGAAATGAGACCATTTTGGATTACTCATGAATCTACTAACCAATCCAACTGCATAACAAATGTCAGGTCTAGTATTACATAAATACCTTAGAGAACCAACCAACTGTTTGAAGGTTGTAGAATCAACAGAATCACCATCAGAGTCAGAATCCAATTTTTGATTGGTTTCTGATGGTGTCACAGCAACTTTGCAATTCTGCAGCTTAAATCTCTTCAGAAATTCTTGTTCATATTTTAACTGATGCAGAATGATACCCTTCTTCGAGTACAGAATCTTCATCCCTAGGAAATATGTCATTTTTCCTAGATCTATCATCTCGAACTCATTCATCAGAACTTCTTTGAACTTCTTTATATCTTCTGGGCAGCTACTTGTTAGCAAAATGTCATCAACATAGAGACACACCAGAATCATATTGTTATCAGAGTGTTGTACATAAACTCCATATTCCATCTCACATTTCTGAAACCTCTGCTTCTTGAAAAACGAATCAATTTTCAGATTCCAAGCTCTAGGCGCTTGCTTTAGTCCATACAGAGCTTTATTTAACCTGTATACCTTCCCTTCCTGATTCTTTTTCACAAATCCAAGAGGTTGTGACACATAAACTTCTTCCTGTAATAGACCGTTCAGAAATGCAGACTTTACATCCAGATGCATTAAAGGCCAATTTTTGTTTGCAGCTAAAGCAATCACCAGTCTGATTGTTTCATGCCTAGCTACAGGCGCAAACACCTCAAAGTAATCTAGCCCGGGTTTCTGAAGAAAACCTCTAGCTACTAGTCTAGCTTTGTGCTTGCCAATTGAACCATCTGGCTTAAGTTTCAACTTAAAAACCCATCTGACGCTGATGGCTTTTTTCTTATCTGGAAGTTTAGTCAATTTCTAAGTTTTGTTCCTTTCTATTGCCTTAAGTTCTTCTTTCATGGCATTAAGCCATTCTTTCTTCTTGAGAGCTTCTTCAATGCCCACTGGTTCAGAATCTACTAACATGGCACACTGAACGACTTCTCCTTCAGAGTCAACTTCATTATCCTGCAGCATGTCAAAATCTGCAAACCTTCTTGGTTTTTGTCTGATTCTCTGTGGTCTTTGAGCTTGTTCTGAAGCTGCACCAGAACTACTACTTTCAGAGTTACCACCTTCAGAGTTTTCCCTTCCAGAACTATGATCACCACCAGTTTCTGGATCATCATCAGCATCTGGATCAGAATCAGATCCATTTCCAGAATCTTCTTCTGACTCATCTTCAGAATCTTCAGGATCTTCAGAATCAGATTCATCTTCTGAACTTTCTAAAACATCTTCAGAGGCTAACTCTGGTGTTGGTACTACACCAGAATCTGATTGAGATTTGTTCCAATCCCATGCTTCAGACTCTTTCACCACAACGTCTCTGCTAACTTCAACTTTATTAGTTTCTGGACAATAAAGCTTATACGCACATGTATTGTGGTACCCCACCAGCAACATTACTTTGCTTCTATCATCCAGTTTTTGTCTTCTAGCTTCTGGAACGTGTTTGTAACAGACAAAGCCAAACACCTTCAGATGACTGACACTCTACTTGTCTCTAGTCCATTTCTCTAAAGGAACAGCTTCCTTCAGTTTCTTCATTGGACACCTGTTCAGAATATATGCTGATGTGGCAACAGCTTCTCCCCATAGCATGTGAGGTAGCTTTTTCTCTTTCAGCATGCTTCTGGTCATATCAAACAAAGTTTTGTTTCTTCTTTCAGCAAGACCGTTGTGCTGAGGAGTATATGGAGCAATGAATGATAACAAAGAGGACTACTATTGTATATCAAATAGAGGAATGAATGAGTTACAATATTTATAGCCTAGGTAGCATATTTATACTAAAATTGAAAATGCCAAAAGGCCCTAATAAAGAATAAACATTGGGAATTGTAGACATTAACTAAATTACATTTCCGATAGTCATTAGCATAGCCCGAAATCAACTTAGCATGATAGGACAAAGCATATTGAGATTGGTTGTCATTTCATAAATGAGAAATTAGATGCTTCATACGTTTTATCTTTTGTGACTTTTAGTCAACAAACTACAGGTATCTTAACCAAAAGTTTGGTAATAGGTGTCTTTGGTCATTTGATAAGATAGTTGGTTCATGATTATTGTATCTCTTTTAATAGTGCAGATTTTCTGTTTTTATTTCATAATAATATGTTGTTTCTAGCAGAGTTGTTAATAGCGCCCGTAGCGGCCGCTATAGCGGCGCTCCAGAGCGGAGCGGAGGCCTGCCGCGCGCGCACAAGGGTGCGGTGGCGGAGAGAAGATAGCGGGCGCTATCGCCGCTATCCCGGGTCGCGGATAGCGGGCGCCTCCCGGGCGGAGCGGTTTGGGGCTGTTTTTTTTTATTTTATTTTTTTTGGACAAAATTACTGTTTTATCCCTCTTTTAAAATACTTTTTAAAACAGATTTCCTTCGTTTCACTTTCTCACTTTCTTCTTCTGCCCTAATTTTTGTGCCCTTCTTCTCCACTGTTCCACTTCCACCGTTCCAGTTCCAGCAAGGCAGCAACATACAACTGCAGTCTGCATCTTCTCTACCGTTCCAGGCTTCCAGCAAGGCAGAAACAGCACCATACACCGTTCCAACAAGTACATCTTCTCCAATCTCCACCGTTCCATCTTCTTCTACTTTTGTCTCACATCTCCGCCGTTCGCAAGCCCTCTTTTATAGATTATTATAATATAATTATTAGTATATAAAAGGTTATCCCGCTATCCGGGATCCCGCTATTCCCACTTTTCCCATTCCCGGGGGTCGGCCGCTCCGCTCCGCTATCCGGGATTAATAACTCTGGTTTCTAGTTCCTAAAATTTTCTCTTGATTCAAGGAAGAATATTAATTGTGTACTCTATGATTAATTGTGATTGGTGCTAACAAATTAATATTGACGATAGTTGGACAACTTAACTACTAAAGAAGAAAAAAAATAAGTGAGACATGTCATCTGTGACTTGTGACTGTTGCCAACGAATATGATTCAACCTTGACTATGATTAGGCGAAGGGACTACCTGATACTATTCACAGTGTGTTGACACCAATGACTGGAGAGCCTTCCATTACAGACAGAATTGAGAAAAGGCAAAGAGCATACTGTGACATGGACAGATGATCATCGGACACTGACCGTAAGACTTTACATATGACCGCATACCCCACATAGATGTTACCAACAAACAACCTCAAATAAAAAGATGCGCAAAACTGGACCAGTGAGAAATGCACTAACAAGATATAGTGAAACACTACAAAACAGAATAAATGAGCAGTGTACGAAGATGTGCAATAGACAGAATATATTGTGAACGGAGACCTAAATTATTGAAGAAACATACATTGGGATGCGATCACAGCGACAAAAGACCAAAACACTGCAGAGAAACCTGGAGGAAGCCCCTTAAACGTGAGACCAGCAGACTGGAAGTGATCTCAACTAAACTAGGAAGGTGAGGCGAGTCTAACAGGACTAGTGTCGACCTTGTCAGAGATCCGGAGGCCTGTCTGAGATCTGGAGGGGGGCCATGGCCTTCACACACTAGCTGTACTGATGGCAGCAGAAATGTGTGGCAACACATGTGATAGAGGTTGACAGAGGTGTTTCGGGGACTGGCTGATCTAACTCCGGAGAATCTGATGGTTGCCATGTTGTCAGATGCGGCGGTTGAACTTCTATGAAGGCAACAGCAGCAACCGCCAACTGTTGGACATCCAACATCTAAACTGAAAATAAACTAGGGTTAGCCTCAACAGTGGCTGAACCCAGAGACAAAGAACTATGATTCCAAACCCCACTCAAAAAAGAGAAAACTATTATTATATTCCCAAGCGTTAGGGAACTCGACAGCGGAATAGTGACGAGATAGTTCAAGGAGGATCGAACCAAACTCTTATATCATGTTAAATTAGATGATTTGAATTGCTTGATTGAAATTATTCACAACCTTGTTATTTATAACTGTTAAAGAGCCTCACGTTGAAAAAGGATATGATCTCAATATATGCTTGTAAGTGGGGACAATCCTCACCTTACAAACAAGTTGGTTTTGTAAGGTTGAGATATGTCCAACCACACATTCCAACATGGTATCAGAGCCAGGTTCATGCACCGTTGGACGGACCACCTGATATCAAGTTTTTGCTTTCGGACCACCCACCATCTATATCCACACTTCAGATGTCCAGTCTTAAGCGTGAGAGGGTGTGTTAATGTTAAGAGTCTCGCATCGGATAATATAAAACCTAAAAATATGTTTAAAAGTGGGGACAATCCTCACCTTACAAGTCGGTTTTGTAGGGATGAGTTTGGCCCAAACCCACAATATCTAAGAATGATTTTTTCTTGATTTAGGATTGAGTCTATGTATCCTATAAATATGAATTACTTAAGTCTTTTGTATCAAGTCAATAGCTATTGTCAATAATTTCTAATCTGAGTGATATTTAAAAATTAAAAAAATCCTAAGACATTTAATAATGTTTTATGTTATGCCGTTTTTATTTAAAAAATTAACGGTTTTACTTTTGAATTGATTTAAATATGAACACCTTTAATTGTAGTTGGGGGTTACAATCAAATCTACAATTAAATCCCTTGATTATTATAAGAATAAAACGAACAAACCTAATCATAGAGATATTTACTCAACAAACTAGAATTTAAACCTAATACCTATCTTAACAATAATGAACCAAATAAGATACTTGTAATGGTTCTATCTATATTACGCGGCATACTTCATTTTTGACAAGTTTGTTTCTCTTACTGATGACTAATGGCTCCTACCAGGAGCTCAAATGCTTGTTGAACTATTTTTAAAAAGCGAGTGAATAATGTTTTCACAAGATATTTCATTGCATGGAAGATTTCAAGTAAAAAAACGGAATGGAATACCTCTCCTGGTTGCTTGTTTTTGTAGAAAAACAAAGCAGTATTAAAGAGACAACTAATTAAGTATTTTAACCCTTCTGTATCAATCCACTTGCTAGCAATGACATGCTTAATCAATTGTGTGCTTTCCTGAAATAGAAGCAAAGAACATTAGTTTTTTTAAGACACGACTTAGTAGCTTTCTAGCTTTCTGCAAACATTTAAAAATTCAATAACATATTTTTGGTGGGAAAATATTATCATAGAAAATTAGAAAACGATAACACGTAAACGGCACTTCATTCTACTAAGGAGAACCTGGAGTTTACGATTGGTTTTGATGGAAAGAGTGAAAGCTGCCAAAGTAAAGCAGGGCATTGTTCTACTCTTTTCGGCAAATCCATCATTATCCTTTTCAAATGTAGAACTGCAGCAAGAAAGAAGTGGAATTTAGATATTTATCATCATAAATAGTACAAGATGAAATTAACAGAAGGTATAATCTTTCAAATTGTTGAGATATCTTATAAATAAACAGTAGGAAAAATGAATGTTCTTAGAAACTACTCAAGAGTTAATGTGACGGTTGAAAATTATAATATAAAAGAGAGCAAATCCAAATATAAGACAAATGACAAGAGGAATGGAAACTATTTTTTCCATAAAAATCAACATAATAGCCGACAAAGAATCAAATAGAAAGACATATAAGCTGATCATTGAAAACTACTTCACCAAAATAATTTGGAATTTGACAGAGTATACCTTTGACTATAAAGAATAAATTGACAAAGGGCATGAAATGCATCTTCAACAGTGGAAAGCATAGTCATAGTAGAAGCATCGGTCTTTTCAGTAAGTAGCTGTTTCCTTTCTGAATTTACTGATTTAGCAAGCGGTAGGCATAGAAAGTCCAATGCCTCTACATAAAATGATTTGTAAGTCATAAAGGCCTCGCAATCAGAAGCTGACTTTGTACATGTGTGACCATCAAATTGTTGGTCTTCGACACTAGATGACGTACAACTACTTCTGCTGCAAATATGAAAGGAACTGAGCAAAGGTGGGGAACTCTGTAGTATTTTCTTATTTTCAAGTAAAGTTCCCAGGAAACATTCAAATTTTGTGCTGCCAGAGGATTCAGGACCTTCAGCTCTAGACTTCAACTTACAGCTAACAAGGAGTAACCCAGCAGCATAAAGCCTAAGTATTGAATTAAGGGGTTTCATAAACTGCCAAAGTTCCAAATTACTTCAATTAAAGCGGAATACAAAAGGTTGAAACAGCGGCACAAATAAAAACTACAAAAACGGAACATTGAATAAAAAACCTGTTTATAATGTTCTGCTGTTTTGTTCAAATATGCTGCAAATGTATGACAAAAACTTGCATTTGCAGTCTGGCATTTAATGACACAATAATATACAAGTTCAATAAACTCGATTCCGGCATTTCCCTCTTCAACCTGGAAGGATAAATACAATAGATTAACATAAAAATCAAGAACTCCAACAAGAAAATACCAACATTGCTGTTTAGATGTAAAACAAACTAAATTAGTAACTAAAAAGTGTTCATAGACAAAAAAAAAACTTGTCAAACGAACAAAATCAGCTTGTAATTCTTTGAAGTAAGACTTGTAATTCTTCTAAGTAAGAGTAATGTGATAACAATAAAAATTCAAACGTTGGGTAGTAGCTTAAATGGCGATATGCAGCATAGGCCATAATAGCTAGGCCAGGAAGCTTTGTATGATTACTTGTCCTAGTGCTCTTACAACTTGAACTTAACGGCCTTCGATTGAATGGAATTAAGAACAAACAGCATCACTGGCTTAGCAAATTTTGATCCAAAATCACCGAGTTCTAGACATAAAATTTCATATACATCCTTACCTTCTTTTCACAAGCAAAACAATCCAGTATATCCATGATATACAACAATTTATTCTCATCCAGCGTGAATAGTATGGAGCACATCTTTTGGGCAATCTGCATTCAAAATTTCATCAGCATGGTTTGTGAAATGTTTATTGAAAAACATAACTGAAAGTAAACAATTAGTTTACCTTGAACAATTGATCTTTAAATGAAGATTTTGCATACTCGATCAACGCCGTTCGGCACAAAGTGATCGCCAAATCTTTATCAGAGAATGACCCCTTCTCGAAGAAATTTAAAGCACATTTACCCAAGTGATATGCTAACGCCTTATGAAATTTCTCATACGAATTGGAATCTAATCCCCTGAAACAGTCAGTTGTATAAGCACGGCATTGAATACCTTTTACCAATCTCATAGCATACAAAAGTAAGTGGGAGTGAAAGCAACCAAAAGGTAAAAACATTGACCTACCCAAGCCACGGCCTCACTTCATCCATCAAATGAAGCACCCTTCTAAAGCAACCATCATCTTTAACGGAAGCCATTGACGCACACTTCACTAAACTCACAACAACATCAACAACCAGAGAGGATAACTCCTTATCAACAGCACCACCTTTGTCAATTTCAGGAAGAATCTTCTTCCCCTTGCTTTTCCCTTCACGAAGCCTCTCTAAAAGCTTAAACCCTTCAGCTTCAGCCTCGCGGATTCGACTACAAGCCTCGTAGCAACGTATCAATCGAAGTCTTAGGAAATGGATAGTTAACGGCTTCGAATCCAATTGAGAACAAACTGCTTCTAAACAATCCAAACAGAGAATATAAACCTCGAACAACTCACGGATTAAGAGCTCGTTGGAATTTGAAATCTCTGGAATACGTTTGGGGAGAATCGATAAGGAGCTGTTGATGAATGGTACAAAACGCTTCGCTAATGTTCGAATTAGGGTTTTGTCATTCTGAGAAGATTTAATATCTGAAAAAGGAAGGAGGTAATTGGAGATTAGGGCGTAGATACCTGGAGAATCGGAGGTTTTCAGCTTAGTGACGAGAGAGGCTTCGACCGGAGAAGCCATGAGAGAGAGAGAGAGAGAGTAAATGCGATTTATGAAGTGATGAGATGAGAAATAGAAAATGGAAGTGTGTGTCAGTGAGCTTAGAATTGAAGGCGCCAATACCAACCCTTTTCGGTTTGCAATTTTATTTCAAAAAATGCAACATGAATACAACGGCATATTTATTTAGTAGGAACATTGAATTTTGAATAAAATTATTCAATCATTTATTTCATTTAGAGTTAAAATAGAGAATTTTTTAATCCATCTCATGACTTTCTTATGTATTACGTGAAATTTCATAAATATTTTTCAAAATTAGAAGTATATTCACGGTGCGCACTTAAATCTGATAAAATATATATAGAAATTGGAAATTTAATTCCGATTTGAAATCGGAGGTGTATTTTAAATTTTATTCTTTACACAAACCAGAAAATATTATTGAATTGAATCATAATCTCACAATACAATTTATAACATAAATATAACAAATATATTTAGGAGTTAAACATAACTCAAATATTACAAATCAACGTCCATATGGACGTTGAAACATCATGATAATATCGTCGACTGGTCTTGTTATAGTCGCATTTAGTTCGATCGGAACTTTCTCCTCAAAACTGTCAAAAGTATTCCACATAGCCCATAAATCAATGATATTCTCCAGCTCACGGTTGATGAACTCAAGTTTCTCATCTTTGTCAACCGATAGCGAGCGGTACTCGATCTTCACTACCTGCGATTGTCGCCATAAGGTACAAGTTCCTGCAATATTTCACGCACATCTTTAATAGGGGTGTACACAATGAACTGAAATTTGCGAGATGGTGTAGCACTGGTAAAGTGGATAACTCCAACATGCCATTTGATGTTCAATTCCATGTCCATTTCTGGTTTCAGTGTTGTGGTATGAAAAAAATATAAGAAATGAGGTTTTTGGTGTCGCCCATAAAACCGAAATTATACTTTCAGTTATATAAGAGATGTCAAGGTGGCAACAAAATTCTATCTTTCCGCTAATAGAACTGGAAACAGAATTCTAGTTTAAAACCGGAAGTATAACTCTGGTGTTGTTTTTTACATTTTGAAGGGTGAAACCACATTTAGCTTGTTTTGTGTAAAATATGGTGCAAACCGAAAATGCATTTCAGATTTTCTGAGAGGAAATTTCAGAATTGCATATGGTGTTCATTTTCCATATGAGGTGGGGTAAGAAATTTCCTTAAAAGATAAGGTACTGATAATGTAAATGTCATCTAATAAAAATTGGTTATTTCTTATCCCACCCCATGTGGGAAAATTAAACCATATGCAATTCATATAATGTCCCTCTAAAATCGGAAGTATACTTTCCGTCCGCATCTTTTTTTGAAAAACTTGACTTAAAAATGGAAGTATAATTCCGGTTTTAAACTGACAATATATTTTCGATTTTGATGCTTCCAGTAGTAGAAAAATCAGAAAAACCAGGTTTGCAAAGAAATATATTTCTCGTTTTTTCATATCCCAAATTAAAACTTGTACAAACCACACACACACACACACACACACACACACACACACACACACACACACACACACACACACACACACACACACACACACACACACACACACACACACACACACACACACACACACATATATATATATATATATATATATATATATATATATATATATATACTGTGATAGAGTCGTACGCAGCACTAAAATGTAATTCAAGTACAAATACGATACAATATAAAACTAAAATACAAATGCATCAGCGTAAACTACTGAGTATAACGGGTGATGAGCCAACATGTCACCCTTGAGGCGTCCATCTGTTGCCTTCTGTAAAACAAAGAATCCTGAGCCTCCGCCACGATGGCATCCAAAACACCTCTAACATCAGATCCATTAGGAAACAACCATTTGTCAATACCATACCGTGCAAGCTCCATGATACAACAACACCTAGGCAACACGTCATGAGCATGATCCCTCCTAGCATGCTCCTCCTCTAGGATATCCTGATAAACTGGCTTAAGTGGGTTCCCTGGAGCATCCTCTACCATGTACGAATGCGATACCTTGAAGAACCATATCACGTCATTGCACTCGTAACTCCAGACATTTGGTGCTATGGTACTTCTGGCCTCGTTAGGAACAAAATGATTCTTAAAATCATTAAACAGAGCATTCATATCCCTTCATTTCACAGTCGGAGGAGCACATACAGCAGGATCACGGGGAATGGTTTGTGTAAACTCGAACTAACGCATCACCCGCTCAAGCATATAAGCAGAAGTCTTACGAATCTCGCAAGCTAACTAACCTGTAGACAGTGTAACCTCGTCAAATGGTATTGTGATACGGTGGTCGATGTATGAACTTAAGCGAATGTCCTCATGCATCGGCCAGTCAATGTAAACCCGAAATAACTCTATCGTCTAGTTCCCTTGGAGCATGTCATATGCGTAGGCACGCGACTTATCTTCAGTATAACTCGTAACATATGACTAACCCGAGATGAGGGGGAAGTGTTGTAGGATCCATCCTTGAAATAACAAAATTAAATAGTTAGTTCCATTATCGAAATAATTAATAAAGGCCACAAAGACAAAGATTTTATACCATCATGAGTGACATGTTATCGGTCATCTGCTTCATATCCCACTTAATGGCTTCATTTAACTTGGTATACAAACCAAGCAAGCAGCCCCCCCCAGTTCCACTGGTTGATCGTCTCAAAATCCTCAAAGTATCGCATGTACATGATATTGGCGTAAGTGGCACTAGTGTCCAAAAAAATCAATGTGCCAACACGATACAGAAGGTATGCTCTCGTGACAAAGCCCATGTGAATGGTAACCTGCTCGGGATCATCATGAGCCTCTCGTGCACGCCTAATCTCATCCATGAACACCCTAGCCAAATAGTTATACCTGACGTGGCAACCACGAGTCTTATTAATCTCTCTCAGGCCACTCTTAGGGATAACTTCTAGCTTCTGAACCAACAAATCCAACGCCTTCTCTTTACCAATCCTATCATGATCCAAGAAAGTCCCTCTGATCGGCAGATGAAGCAGACACGTGACATCGTCGAGTGTGATCGTCATCTCACCATATGGTAGATGAAACGATGATGTCTCATGGTGTCACCTCTCAATAAAAGTGTTGATCATACCCTAGTTGACCATGTTATATCCATACTGTAACGGTAAAAATGTTTAAGACTAAGTCATTGGGTTGACTAGACTTTATACAAATCAAAATAAAAATCGCCACCGCGCGTTATTGTTTCCAAAGGAATGGGAAAAGAGCGAATAACCCAAAAAGAAGGGGAAAGATTCAAGGTAAGGGGGTTGGTTATGTAAAGGGAAGGTATTAGCACCCTAAACATCTACGGTACTCCGCAAAAACCTCTTTGTAAAATATGTATATTTTGGCTATGAAAAATGTTGTATAAAAATGGATGGTGGAGGTGAGAAAAGAAATATATTTATTTTATAATTTTTTCACCCGCCGCGGTTGCGAACCTTTAGTGCCTACGTACCACCTTTTCATGCAATAGGGGATCAGGGTACACGTGGTTCCTCTTTTAAAAATTCAAAACACAAATGTGTTGGTTAATTTTATGAGATAAAATATAATCGTCATTGTCCGTGTGGAAAACATACCTACTACCCACAATTATGAGAAAGGAGAATTTGCATCATCTCAAAGTGGAGGATATGGCTTAGATCTAAAAATCAATAATACCTTACTCAACACCCAAGTGGAAAATATCTCTCTTCACTACATATTGTAGAAGTATAGTTGTTTACATCACTACAAGGATTGACAAGAGTTCAATCTTTTGAGAAAAGTTTAAAGATAAAAGCCAAAGTGGCAAAATGGTTTGAAATGAGATTGATTGACTTTTAGTCTTCTCACAAAAAATGTCAAGGTATTATTAAGTTGATTGGAGTTTATTTATGAAAATGTTTTAAAATGCATGGACATAAGTCCAAGTTTATTATAAAAGTGGTTCAAGTTTAAAAACAAAAAGATTTTTCAAAAGGAGGAAGAATATTTTTGAAATTAAAGAAGATGGGAGGAGAAGAAGGGATTATCCTAAAGCATAAGGTAAAAGTTAGGGATACAAACCATCTAACCAACAAGAAGATAATACTTGACATTATGAGCCAAGATATAATTCCCCTTCCTTAGATTGAAACCATTCAAGCAAAAAAACTAAACCTCTTGAGAGAACCAAACTTCAAGTGTATTAAGTCTTCATAAAAATTGGGCAGAGTAACGGCCGTATGCAGGTGAATTCCAGATTACAAACAAAGGGTGTAATCACAAAAACCTGCACACAAAAACAAACAAGCAACCCAATGTCTTGAGGTAAACCTCAAGAACTCTAGACAAAATAATCAGATAAGATCACAAGGTCTCCAATCATAGGCAAAGGTTCATAATCCTAAGTCTAAAAAGTCCAATGCTCCATAATGTCAAGGATAATAACCAAATAGTCCAAATATCATTATAGATTTTTAGGGTTTATGTTGATTATTAAGTATCTTAAAAAAAAAAACTCAAGTGAGCAAAGTAAAAATGACAAGAAAGTAAATGCTCAAATGAGCAAAGATAAAAATGGCATGAAATGTAAATGTTAAAAGTAAATGATACAAAAAGCATAAAATAAAATAAAAGCATAAAGTAAAACAAGTAAATAATTAGTGGTTAGTTGGATGACCATCTTGAAGCTTGCATTTGGAACTCATTAGAGTATTGGTAGAACCAAAGCCTCCACATAACAAGTTGCATTTGCTTTTTGTCAAGTATATCATCCATTTGGAATTCTCACAAGTGTCAATTAATGATCAACGATGTTTAAGTGATCCGTGTTGACCAAAGGTGTTGTAGATCCATTAAAGGATTGGTAGAACCAAAGCCTCCACACAATGAATCTCAAGGTTATTGGATCAAAGAGATTAAATTAACATACTTGGGCTTGCAAACATAAGTTTGGGCCACGAA